TCTCTCTCTCTCTCTCTCTCTCTCTCTCTCTCTCTCTCAAGGACAACTCCAGAGGATATTTGTGTCTTTGTTGGCTGGCCCACAAAATAGTCCCCAACACAGGCCTTCTCCACATATCTGTTAGAAATCCTTGTCATTGATTTGTCGGCTTCTCTTTACCTGCATCCTCTCTGCTGTGATTGGTATGGACTTGATGCAGGGAATCAATAAAGGAGACTGGCTGTTACTTAGATTGACCTCAGAGAGAGATGTTTTTTAGATGTTTTTTTCTTGCTGCCTTGGCCTCAAAAACCTTAATCACCTTCCTTTAAATTGGAGAGATCATATTAAAGTTTCAGTGCTGCAGCTGGGGGAAATATCTCACACTGGAGGATCGATAAACAAGCAGAAACAATGTGAGGAGGGAAAACGACACAGCTAGTAAACACATTTAACAACTTATGCAGCAGCGGGTCGGCTGGCGAATCAGTGTCGTTTTGTTAATGTCGAAACTATCGAGCAAGCACAAATTAAATTGGAAAAATAAAGATTTCACTGCATGAAGGGACAAAAACACTCTGTGTTTTCGCCACAGACCACGAAACTTATATGATTGTGAGGAAAAGAAGCCAGATTACTCAAAATCTGCTTTGTGAACGGGAATTTAAAGATTTGTTTTGTGTTTTTTGTGTTTTGTGTTGGTCTTTTCCCCGTGTGTTGGCACCGTATCCACAACGTGACCAATCCACATTTAATAAAGCTTCTGTCATTATGCAATTATGTTTCTGCTATCAGTTACAGAAATTCAGTCACAACTCGTTTTATAGCACCACACATATCTCCGCCCTCGTGTTGCCTAAAGTATAATACACAGCGAGGTGTACAGACTTGAGGTCTACTAATACCATGATTTTAGGTATTATTATCAGTATAGGGAGAGAAAAAACTGCATCATTACATTTTTAGATGCAAGTAATTTGCAACGGCGGAAATATTTTGAGAGACATTCAGTGTCGTCTTTATCAACATGGTCATGTTTAGGGACTTGGTCGCGTGTGGTCAGAAGCTCACACAGCGGTGATGTCACGGTGTACTGAGACACCCTGGAGTACACTTCTACATCAGTGCAGCAAGCTGAGGAGTTAAACCACTGGAGGTCAGCAAAAACAATATTTTCAGTCGATGTTAAAGGGGAATTACGCCCACTTTCAAAACTCGTACATGTTACTCCTACAGTAAAAATATTAGTAAACGGATTGGATTTACGAAAGCAGCCAAAAGCTGTTATAGGTGACACTTAGAGCACCCAGGTGAATGTTCTGAGTATCCAGATACATGTTCTGTTAATGAACTGAGAACGCTACAATAGATAATAGAATAAAGCTCATTTGGGTGTAAAAAAGACAAAAAACATTCTGTGTATCAGTCTCCCTTTCATTGTCTGTGGATCAGCTCCAGGCTTTATACTCGATGACGTCACAAGTTTGAGACTTACTGGGAATCCCCACTGGAAGCGAGACGGGAGCGGTGGGTAAGCGTCCTCTCATCCGACTCCGTCTTCAGTAAACGTCTCTGCACGTCTGCCGTCACCCGGCTGACTGACGGGAGACATTTTCTGAACCAAAATAGTTTTCGTGTCGGCTCTGGGGGACGGAATCCACCGTGGTTTTAGGCCTGTGATTCAAACAGTTGTCTGTGCAGATTACGCTTCACTAAAAGCGACGTGACTTGAAGTGTAACCAAAACGCAGGGGGGGGCTCTCTGTCAGAGGCGTCGGTGTGCAATGATACGTTTAATAAAATGGAAGCGTATCTTTTCCGTGAGACGTCGAAGAGGCTTCTCAAAAAACGCTTTGGCTGTTACTCCTCCGGTTTCTGAATAACTCAGGTTCACAAATATTGATTCAACTTTTCTGGGCCAAAAAAACATCATGACACAGATTCTTACTTTAGGTGGTGTTCCCCTTTAAGTGGCTCTTTAAAGTGAAAACTGAACTTGGAGCACGAGGCAAGACGAGTTATATACCATATACATTTAACCACTATCACAATCTTTTCCAAACCTAACCGTCCTCAACAAAAGTGTTGTTGTTGCCTAAAGCTGACCACAGACTAGACTCAGGACCTGAACCCAGCATCCACCTCGACTACAGCTCTCTACAGCTTCTGTTCTGTAAAATGTTGCACAAACATCGGCAGTAAACAAACCTCGGGACGCAGTTATGCTTCTTTAGCAAAAACAAGTGAGCTATATATGTTGTTGTTTTCAAGGAGAGCAGAGTTGCACATTCAGAGCTGTTCAATGTTGTTGGTAAACCTCCAGACAAATCATGCTCTCGGAGATTCAGGTCTCAGTCATTTCGGTACCGACACACTTACCTTCCATCTGGCAAAAACAAAATTGATGTTTCTCATCACTAACAAAACACACAGAAAAACATTGAAAGATCGTTTTCAATTTGGCATTTTGGAACAATGGAGAGTGTGTCTTCCTATTTTTTCGGCCTTGAGAAGTCTGTCTCCCTTTCAGCTTTTCCCTCATAAAGTGTGAGATATTCGGAAGGTGGGTGGACTGCATACTTTTAAACAAGCGAGCAAAGTCTACGCGGCCATCTGCTCGCTCCAGAATATATATTTTTTTAATCAAGGCTGCAGCCTCGAAACAACCAGACTCTCTGTCACTCCTGCAATTAAGCGTCTCGTACCGAGAGCGACCGGCACACACAGCATAACATGTTAGTTACATCTAATCTGACCTGAAAACCAAAGCAGATGCTGCTTCCAACAAATTAGTTTGAGATTTGCCACTAGTTGCTCGGGGGTTGACGCCTCCTGAGCGACTCGTTATTTCCTCTTTTATTTTGCGAATTTCTCCAACTTGGTTAGAAAAAGGAGAATTCGACACACTTTGCGGGGCGGCCTTATTGAACCACTGCTCTCCTTGTCAGTCACGTGTTTAAGTGAATTACCCGTGTTTGCGTGTGCTCACTTTACTGTGCAGCTGTTTTTTCTATGCACTGCAGAGAAAGAGAGATCATATAGTGCTATTTATGTTAAAAAAATTAAAACTTTGTCCTCAAAATGACGTATATTACAGTATGACTAAAGGACAATGCTTTACGGAGCCAAACTAAATTCTATTATTTATCAAATGCAATTAGTAAATGCAGGGTAGCATAGGTGTGAGACTAAAAAGGCTAGTAATCAAATAAATATTACTATAAATATGAATAATAAAAATAATACTCTTTCTAATTCGAGTTAGAAAAATAAATAAATATATAAATGTATAAAGATGAAAAGATATGAGTATATGTATTGGTATCATATATATATAACCCTGGTGTTTAGGTACATTTCTCTGTATGTAATGTAAAATATATTTATGCTATTGTCATAAGGAACACTATAGTAAAACATGTTGTGCATGCTGGAGTGCAGATGCAGAGATGTGCATGTTTGTCTTCAGATGATGGAAAGTAGCTCAGATTTGCAATAAACAAGACAACACTTTTCTTCAGAGATGGACGGTAATGATGCCGTTTTCCTTCCGTCTCAACACAGATGTAGTGTTTGTGAGAGTCTGACTGAACATGCAGTCCTCTGTCTCCAATGACCAGACAGTTCATTAGAGGATGTGTGGGTGAAAAGGCATTACAGTCTTTTGAGTTACACAACAAAATGCGTCACTGTAAAGTGTTTTGTTCGTTCTGTTTTTTCTTCGTTTCTTTCCAGGCTCATTTTGTCGTTACGGATCTATGCCAGTCCTCCGACCGAGCAGAAGAAACCTGGACAGCTACCTTACCACTTCATCGGCAAACAGGTACGAGTTCAAGGCTGTCAAGGTCTCTTTTCCAGGACTGTTTTTACAATAGAAGCGCCGCTTATCAGTCTGCGTCATCATTTCTTCCAAATGTGTCGTTTCTCGGTTTCAGTCCACAATCACACTTTGTGTTGAAATGGTGATTTAGGTATGACAGCGGCATACATTGATTTATTCATTCGACTGATTCATAGAAGCTCTGTTGTACTTTCTTTTACTTTTGATATGATTCTGATCAAACTGAAGTAAAAGGAGTAAATGTTTTTTTTAGATAGAAAAACCTTTTGCTTATTTATCAGTTCCCAAAAGGAAAGTTACAGAGAACTCTGTGGAAATAACAGCTTACGGTGAGACGGCTCAGATGAATATAAAGAATTAACGAATAGATATCGCCTTGAAACTCACCCAGTGTGTTACTTACATCAAGACAATTATTTTTTGTTTTAAAAGTTTTCTGAAAATGTATGTTTAGATATGCAAATGAGGCATTATCTTATTGATTATGTGTAAATTTGTATATATTTCCAGAGCAGAAATCTGAACATTGGATAAAGCCAAGAGTCAAAGGTTTTTGAAGAGGGGGTTTTGGAAATCTCTTTTTATCACGACATGAATCACAAAATATTATCAACAACCATTAAAAAAATAAAATAAAATTCACCATATTTTAGGAATTAAATGTTCTGTAAATCAGCCCATGCATAATATATGAACAAACTGTAAAAACCTTCAGAATATACGTAGATAGGAAGGATGTAAGAGCTACTGAAGTAGAGATTTCTGGCTCAGAGTCTGAGAAAAAACGCATTTTGAGAAAACGTCTACTACATACGAAAATGCACAACAAAAACAACAACTATATTATAGGTTGGAGGATGAATTCAGGAGTCTCACAGCCTGAGGAAACAAGCTGCTCTGAAGTCTGTTTATACTTCTGTAACGCCAGGGTGAACAGTCTTTAAATATCCTTTGGGCTCTTCGCAGGCACCTCTTGTCACCAATATAACTGATGCTCTGTAGATGGGTACCAATGATCTTCTGGGTGGTTTTAATCACCCGCTGTAGAGCCCTCCTGTCCTGGGCCGTTTACATCTCATGCCAGTCTGTAATGCTTCCATTCAGGATGAGATCTATTGCTCTTCTGTAAAAGTTAGTTTAAAGTTAAAGCACTTGGCGCAGGAAATACAGTCGTTAATCGGGGGGTTTTCACCTGGATGGAGATGTGACAGATGGAGGTTGTTTGTGATGCTGATTCCCAGGAACTTGTAAGTGTTGTTATTTTCAAAATGTGTGAAGGCCAAGTGGAGGGCGTGTGGTGACTAAGGCATCAACAATGTACCTTATAGATATCACCATGAAACTTCCTCTGTTGATTACTTATATAAGCAAAAGACAGTTTTCAACAATGCAACAATTTAGCAATTATCAAAATAGTTTTTGATACATTTTCTGCAATTGAGTAATGAATGAATTGACCAATAAATGGTCACTTATGTACTAAACTCAATTTATTAAATGTATTTCAGCATCAAACTCTAATGTTGTTCCTTTTAGTTGCACATTTGTAAACTTGTTTCCCTGAGTTTGAGTGGACTCTCATCTCGAAGTGCAAGATGAGTCAAAGGAAAAACATCTCCAACAATACGTCTATTGTCTCTGCTAGATTAGCGTTTCGAAGGCGTTTGATCTGCCTCCCTCCAACTTTTGACAACTTAGAAGAGGAAAGCCTACAACAGTCCCTCAAGGCTCAATTATCCCTCAGACTAGATAACAACCCGGTGAGAGGGGAGGCCTGCAAGACAACGGCAACCAAGACGAGATGGAGCTGCTGGTATTAATGGAGATAGTCTGATATTACCTGGCTTCTCATCAAAAGACTGTGTTGGCAGGTGGAGCACATAATCCCTTCCACGTCTCATGTCGGTGCCAAAAAAACTGCTTGTGCCGTGTAGCTCAATGGGCAGAGCAAGACATCACTGACCGGCCTGTTACCGACGGGAGCACTCATTATCCTGCAAATACACATATCTGAGTGCATGACTCGCATTAAAGCTTTCATCAAATGCCACCAGTCAGGGTGATAAACTCACAGGTCTACAGCAGTGTTGTCTTATTTCAAAGCTTTTTGTTGCGTTTTAATAACCACGTCCGTCTTTACATTTTGCTCAGTTTTAGTCGTATTCTCTGCGGATGTTTTAAGTCCATAGAGACGCATCTTCTGCTTTCATCAGAATCTTATTTTTCTCCTCTGAAGTGCATCGCGGCTGCAATAAGCCTCCTCAAAGTCTGCAGAATTGTTATTAGGATTTTTGCTCACGGACATTTTAACAATTTGTGTCAAAGGGAGAGATAAGAGCGAGGTGCTCCGAAGACAAAGCTGGGCCAGAGATTACAGAGATTCTGTGAGCGTATTAAGATTTTTGTCATTATTGAGGCTTTTTTTCCTTTGAAAGAAAAAACTTGTTTATTGTAGTAAAACATCACATGATTTCTTAGGGTACGAAATGAATTGTTGTTTGATCTGATCAGTGTTTATCTCAGCAAGGTTGCTCACTTGTAGTTCGATGATTGATTTGAGAGAAAAGCAAAAAGTAAAACAACATAAAGACAGTAGAAAATCGCACAAAAGAGACGGCAGACTGCAGTGAATTCATTCATTCAATTCATCTTGATTTAGTGCTAAAATGACCCTTAATCATTATGATATAATCTAGTTTAAAATGTCTCTGCAGCTCACAACAAGGTGAGGGTCCAATGATGTTAAAAGTGCTCTCACCAAAAAAGGCACGGCTTCAACAACAGACGTACACAATGTGTCCGCATGATCGGAGGTTACAGCTGCTGATAGTTTAAGACGTCGGTGGAGAACATAGATGAGGAGGTGGTTCATATAATGTGACCTTGTATCAATGTACTAATCATTAATTTTATGGTTGTACAAGAAAACAACTTCTCCTATAAACTGCAATGATGTGAGACAAATCACAATGCAGCAGGATACCCTTCAAACAGGATGAACCTGCATGCATGTATAAAACATCACCGTGATGAATTGCTGATAAAGCATTGCTTGAATTGCTTGCAGCAAAATAAAACTTCACTTCAAATGAATTTGTAAGACACTCGATGTGATTGTGTCCTGGCAGAGAAACCCAGGTGTTCACATGTTTATTTGTTTCCTCGTGTCACCAGAAGAGATGAATAGAAAAGAGATGGCGGTGAATAGAAAAGAGACGGCGGTGTTAAAGGCGTTTGTATCTGCAGAGAGGAACAGGTCAGTGTCTCTAAGTGGAAACTGGAAGAGGGAACTCTTTCAGTTTTCATTTAGAGGACACCCAAACCTTGTGAAAGCGTGGAGCTAAAATCACTGTGCTGCAGCTCCTCGCTCTAATAAAAACAGTTGAATGGAGCAAATCAAAAGCAACGCCTTCAAAGCTCACAATAAATCCTGCTCTTAAAAAATGGAAACCTCACCGTGCAATCGGACGTGTCTTTATGTCCTCTATCGGGGAAAAAAGATCACAAACTCTGCTCGCTATCATCTCTTATTGAGTGTTTTTATTGATTCTTTTTTGCAGAATTGTCTGGCGCTGGCAGAGATGTAGCCAAGAATAGTCAAGTCAATAAAATCAGATCAAAGCTGTGGTTTGAAACCCTCTTCTTATGGGTAGAAGCTATACATTTAGGGAGCTTCCAGCTTCCTGTAAAACAACATTCATCCTCTTTTTTTTTTTTTAGGACCTAAAAGACATTTGACTGTTTAAACCCAGTGAGGAGCTACGGCAGAGTGACTTCAGCTTTGTGCAGATTTATGAACCGGCGAAAAAAAAACCCCATCATTTCTACAAAACAGCAACTTCATCCTTCAACAGAGATGTCATAATGCTAAGCTGCTTAACATTCAGATTTGGGTTTGCACTTGAAGGCACTAATCTGGTCCCAAAAATAAATCTGCTTATAATTGTGGGATATTATGAAAAAAGAAGATAATCTTCAGTTCATTAGTGTCATAATTGATATTCCTGAATGTTTGGACAAATGTTGAATGGGTTCATCTCCTCCTCCACAGTGAAGGTTAAACTTTTATGGACAATATCAAACGATGATGTACGATCGCATCAGATATGAGGAGAAGTGAGCATTCGTGTCTAATCATTCAAATCTCCGCTCTCACCTCTGTTGGCGAAAAGTAATTATGACAAAGTCATGTGTGTCTGCAAGAGGACGGGAAGTACCGACGTCGGAGAACTTAGTGAATAGAAGACGATCAGAGGCCCAAACTCAAGTCCCCGTTGTGTTCAGACACTAGAGGAGATTGTCTTTATTGCTAGTCTTTTATTTGCTTATTCAGTGTGGCTTTGTGGCACAAGGCAGTAAAACTGCCTGTGCCAAAGCACACTGTATATTATCCATCGGGCTTAATCATACTACTACTACTACTACTAATAATAATAATAATCAGGTTTATCTAAAAGTTTGGCGCGCTTCTCCTCACACATCGTTGCCAACAGCGGCGTGAAAAATACATCAAAACGTGCGGCCTGATCGGGAATAGTGTGCTATCTATTTTTCGGAGAGATTTGCCAAGCGGCTTTACCGAAAATCCCCAAAAACTGAGCAAAATGTCCCCATTCACTTGAATGGGGTTTCGGCGTGAAGAGAGCAAAAAAAACACTTAACTTTGGGCCCATATTGACTAGCCGTACATTAACGTAGAAACATGATTCAAAGTTTAAAACGTAGACAAAACGCTGCACTTTATTGAGCCAAAGGGACATTTTGATAGCTATCACAGTTTTCATGAAGTCACAGATTAAGTTTCATGAAAATTTTGGGTCTGTTTCAGATTTTATAATGGGTGTGTATTGCACGGCTCGTTAAGAGCTAGAGTGAGAGCTTAACTGTCAAAGTGGAGCAGAGCAGGAAAATCTTCTGTGATTTTTTCCAAACAAATTGCTCCAGCTCCCACAATGCTTACTCTTTATACACCATTTATGGCA